TAACTTTCAACTGTCATCGATGTCTATCTATACTTTAAAGAGATACACCGAAGTAAACAAGGTACATCGGTATGGTAACTAAATATGCAGCAGTTAAAAGCTTAATCTACTACATGTCTAACGCGAATGATACTCAAGAAATCATAGGATCGAACTGAGTCACCAGAAGAAAATTACTACTCTACCTTTGCGATATCTAATAATGTAGAGTACTGTCTGAAGAGAGTTTTCAAAGTCTGATATTTATCCTAAAACTATCGCTAGATGTCATAGATCCATAAGAAATAAAAATTATTTTAGTCTAATAAAACTTCGACAGCTAACATTAATTGTTATCTCCTTAGTCGGTGTTTCACCTTCTCAACTCTTTTTAGTTCCTTCATTCATTTCGCTCCTTTCATTCCTTAGAATGAGAGTAAGGAGTTAGAATGAAGTTTGTCATAGTGAGTTTTTCGGTGAATTTTCGGCAATGGCTCAAAGTCATGTTACCAGTTATGCTTTTGTCTTTAGTAAAACTGATTTTTAGATAGCAATCAAAATTTGTTTTTACTAGGCTTTCACCCTTCACAGAACTGATCTACTGATAATTGTCAAAACTTTTATTTTTTTTCATGAACGAAGACTTGATAGAAATAGAACTTTTCGGTATTGCCGAAAGTTAGTACTGGGAATTTTCTGTCCTCGGACAAAAGGAGCTAAAATTGTATAGAATTAAAAAATTAATGAAAGTAAAAGGGAGTAAAGAGAGATAAGGATTAATGATATCTGATGCTGATTTGTTGGACTAGGATAACTTTGATTTCTTAATAAATCTCTTTTAAATATAGCTCTAAACAGATGTCTTGCCTGATTTAGAGTTCTCCTATTCAATTATTCGAGCTCCTGACATATACAATGACTAATCATATACTAGCCACAAGGACTGATGTATTTCACAACATAGTTAGTATGCTATTGAGTACTCAGTCAGACTAAGCCTTAGTCGAATCAGTGTTCAGTCGATCAATAAGAATTGAGACTGACGCATATCTATTACTGGCATATCAAGTCAAAGGATAAAAGTTGTTAGCAGCAATTCTTATGAGATTGAAATGTGAAACATTGATGATCCTGTTGGACTAGGATTCAGTTTTGCAGGTACATCTATTAATTTATAAGAGAGAGAACGTGTTGCTACAAAGTTTGTTATGGTCTGTGACCAGTTGTTACTAAGCTCTCTGTATGGAAGATCGTGTCTCACAAAACTTATATCTTACTTACACAATAATTAATGATGACTTCGAACTATGTTCTACTCTAAATATTCATTGTAAATTAAGACCTCTTTTAATATTTCTCTTTATTGACTTCTAATTCTGTTTCTGTTATCTTCCATGATTCATCATTTTCTGTTCTATTTTTATTATTTTCATGCCATGCTTGTAACAATTGATCAAATTTTTATGTTTCATATTCATTTGGTTATTTATTAAGACCATGAAGAACATGTAGATCTGTATATCTGTATATCTAATTCGAAATTTTGTTAATAGTGACATCATTGCAATATGTTGTCGTTCAGCATCAGTTTGCTCACCATGTACACATGAAAATATTCGAAAATTGACAATTACGTCAATATCTACGACATCTTAATAAATAAGGTAATAATAAAGTCAATCCATCATCATCATCAAATAACCACCAAACATCAATAATAGCTAATGATGTTTGTATAGGATGAAAAATATTTATGTTTAATAAAGCACCTTTATTTATAATCGTATCTTTGAATGTTAAAACATCTGTTTGACGTCATGTATTATTAATATTATTATTATTTTGTGATATTGACACACGTAATGAGTTAAATATTGTTGATTCTTCATCATCATCGACATCATCATCATCATTATCATCATCAGCTGAATCTATTGAAAAATTTTCATATAAAAAAAATCTTTTTCCAAAAGAATTTTACCTGACTCAAAACAAAAAAAAAAGACTAAAATCAAGTCCAGTTTTTAATCTTAAAATTCCAATACCATATTTAAGATGTAATGCATCATGAATTATATTAAAATAATCAATAGCTGCCTCTGCTTTTATTAACCAATCATTTTTAAAACCAAGAACAACGACATTTGGTCGCAATTTATCTACACACTAGACAGACAACAAAGAAATCATTTCATGAGACGTTATATTTTCATACTTGAAATAATGATATTACTCCTTGTCGAACAGTTAGTGCAACAACTGTTTGATAAAATACTTTAACTGTATGATTTTTTAACCATGTTTTACCTTTATTATTTTGTTTATATTGAATAATTATTTACTGTTGGATCATCCTTAAATATAATTTTTATTACACGTGCTTTTCATTATTTTGTGTTTATTATAATTTTGATGAATAATTTTTTGTTATTCGAAAATTCTCCTGAGTCCCACCACGAGAAAAGATGAGTAACCGGATGCTTAAAAAGTATTCTAAAATTTAACAAGAAGCTTCGAAATATTAGGAGAAAATGATAAAAACTTCAATTGAATTCCTCCTTAAGTGTTTAACTTTTCATCGTTTTCCGTCATTACAGCTCATCGGTGGATCTAGACACAAATCGTACTTTTGATACTTATTGAAGTTTTTAGTTCACATTTGATACTGACTTCGAAATATACTCTGAACAATTTTCAAGCAATCTTGATGATCATCGTATAAAAATCGTATTATAGTTGGCTGCGTTTTTGAGGATAGTGCTAGTCCATTAAAACATTTTTATTTTCGAGAAATTTTCAACCAGATTTTGGAAAAAGTGGTGATAGAAAGCTGACTGATGGGAAAATCCTCGAAACATTGATCTCGAATGCTACGAAATTTCAGAAATCAAATGTCCATTTTTGTGTCTTGATGGTAGCTAAGTCGTTCGGCTTACAACTCTACACAGAACCAATCCGATCTCTTAGGTAGATAATAATCAAAAACAAAACTTATTCTTTTATTATAGAAAAAAGAAAAATTTTTTTTTATTTTTATCCTTACTAAAATCACATTTCCACATTATCATTAAACTATGTCCATAAGTAACTAACGAACAAAGATCAACTAATGTTGGACGATAAATTGGATTCCCGGTTAAAACTAATATTTGTGGTCGAAAATTTTTCACATGCCTTTGAATATTATCTAATTTATGAGTTGCATCTTGTGCTCGTCGATATGCTCTAGCTTGAACAGATGAACCCCAATTAATTTCTACAAAAATCTATCATTAAAATTTTATTCATATCTAGAATATTTTTATCTGGTTTTGTCCTTCTAATATATAGAAAAATTCTACTATTGACTACAAATGTGATCAAAGCAGTCCATCTTAAAAAAGAGAAGATTTTTCGAGATATATTTTTGCATTTCAAAATCTTACCAATTGATCATAAACATCACTGCAACACATAATAATGCTCTAGTTAATGCCAACCATTTATTATAATATCGAAAATCTGATCTCCATCCACTAGCTTTTGCTAATGATGCATTGAAACATGCATAATTAACTAATGCATAAGTCATTAGAAGAAAAAAAAAATTGGAAAATATCGGTTCAATTACATTTAATTCACCTTTAAAAGATATGAAAATTTATTTGAAAAACAAGAAATATTCAAAGAATTTTCTTTATCAATAGCAGTAAATGAAACAGCAACAAAATATATTAGGACATATGTTCGTATTGGTTTATTAGATTTTCCATTATTAACAGCAAAATATTTTAAACGAGAATAAATCATATCTCGACAAACAGCTTGAAAGATTTTCGATGCACCAACAAGTCTTACTAAAATAGATCTCATAGTTATAACTATATAAATTCACCATCCTACCTAAAGTACTTGATAATGTTACAGCAAATATTCCAGTTAAGAACAAACAAACAAACAAACAAACAAACAAAGTTAAATCAACAGATAGATAATGTTAACAAACCAGTTATAATTGGTTCAAAGGCTGATATCATTTTCATTATTTGATAATTATATATCAAACGAGCTCTTTCAAAATCATATCATCACCTAGGAATAGAAGTAGATTGCGATAGTCTAATCGATAGCGACTACAACTAGCCTCGAGCATAGCCAGAAGCTGAAAAGCTTTAACTTTTTTTCGTTTTTGAAAGCTCCAAGACAATCATTCCAATCGGCAGAAACGGCTGTAAACCAATGTGTCACAACACATTATATGTCATCATATTTCACTATCCTATTCTAAGAGCCATTTTTTTCCAACCTGAGACATATGTGAAAGTCTCAAGCTTCGGCGGTGGCTAGAATTTTTTAATAAATCTTATTTTTTTTTTTAAATTTTCTGAAATAAGCTCTAAAAGGAGTGTTAAAGTATGTAGGAGTAGAGACTTGGACCTACCTTTCCATGCACAGTAGACAGTCAAGCGATAACTTTTTGCTTGAGTTCTAATTTTCTCACTGATTTGGCGCAGAAAAACATTGAATAGTATCTCATATGGTAGTACATTGGACGCACTTTAACATAACTTCTACTATGTTCCGTCCTCATAAACATTTTAGCAAAAATTTATCGCATACGTGACAAAATTTACAACAAAAGTAAGCAACTCAATCATGTTTCACATTTGAATCTTGCAGAAATCGTGTTAATAGCTTTTTTTAGATTCAAGAAAGGACAACGATAAATTTGCTAGTTAATTGACTTTTTCTGTAAACTAAAGAAGAACATTACTCACTATATATGTTTTCAAAATTGATTAACGTATTTATATAATATGATTCAATTATATATAGGATCAACGAAGGATTGATTGTTATTTGGTACATGTCTATTCATATGAACTATCCTCTAATAAAGAAAAAGAATCTCGAGATATTACGCTGCATCTGTTCTACCACAGAAAGTTTATATTAGCTAAGAAACTTTTAGTCCAATCCCTGCAGGATTAAAAATGTAAAAGACGATGTAGCTTGTTATGTTGCACGTAAATGAAGGGATTCAGCATATCACTTGTGGCATACAATGATAGAAAATGGTTTGATTTTTGTTGTATTTTAATTTTCACATAGAGAAAACATTAAGAAAAATATATAGTAGACACAACAGAAAAAAAAAAAGACAAGATTATTATCCTTAAGAGTCATTTGTAGTAGTATTATTTGTTGGTAATGGTGGTAGAATTTCTCCTCGATCACCGGATATAGCATCCATACGAATATCATCATTATACACTTGTTCACTCTAAAACAATCAATAATAACTAATTTTGGATTGTTTATCAAATAAAATTAATTTACAATTTGCCAAACT